TTGTATTTATCGTCGGCTTGCGGGTATTGCTAATAAAAATAATCCTCGTCTTCGGAAACTTGATTATTCCCACCCCTAGCACGGGTGCTTCTAGCTTCTTCATCTTGATTCTCATCCTCTTCGGAGGAGTCCTCTTCAACTTGAACTTGTCGGGCTAGGCCTTTGAACCTCTTCCCTAGGTTGATTACAACTTTCGTCTTGGTCTTCTTCTTCGCAACAAGAAGCGCCATCATTTCTTGTTGACCCTTTGCTAAGTTGAGAAGAGTCTCTTGGAATTGAGTATTGAGTCTGCAAGTCCTTGAAGGTTTGCTCGAGATCCATCTTATACTGAAATAAACAGTAGAAAGATGAGGAAACCTATGTCAGAAAACCTGCTTATGATATGATACATGTTATGCGGATGCAATGTTTTCAAGGAATTTAAGGAATTTAAATTTTCTAGACAAAGAGAAGACAACAAACATTAATTGCATTAATAAGTTCAGGAATTACAAATGCCTCTTGGGCTTACAATGGAAAAAAGCAAAAAGGTCTCAAAGAGATAACAAAATAAACTCCTAAAACAAAAAGACGCAGGTCTCCCACGGGCGCATCCTCTTTGATGCAATGTAAGCATCTAGGCTTTGTTCCTCGTGAAGTTGCCTTGTGAGATCTAACACTTTCTTCTCGCTTTCATAAAATTGAGCCTCAAAGGTATCTCGTTCCTCCTTGAGCTGAATCTATGATCTCTGAAATTCCTTGAGGTCGGTAGGCATGTCAGGATGGAGAATGGTATAGGGAACATCTCCCTCAGCAACAGGCTTCACAACTATTGGTAGGATAGCGGGTTATGGCATTATGAGATTCTGAGTGCGAGCTCGCACCCATTTAAGATAAGGCTCCAAAGGGATGGAGTTCTTGTGTCCCAAAGTCTTTCTATCGATTTTGTTTACCATGCCCCAAGCTTTTACAAACCTTTGACGATAACCTTGGACATCACCCTCATAGTCGAATACCAAACCCTGGATAAGTGTTTTATGGGGAATATCTCTTCGGGCATACCCTAACTCTCGCAATGTAAGAGAAGGCTTATAAGTAATACCTCCCCTAATGCCAAAGAGTGGGACATTAGGGAATTTCCCACAACGTTCAATGATGGTGACATCCTCCAAATATCGGAAACACCAATGGATATTCGAATTCAAAAGCGACATCATCCTTTGAGACCACCCCAAGCCTTGTTTGTTCTTCAAAACAGATCGAGGAAGGTGCAAAGTAAACCACCTAGATAGAAATGGTATGCAACACATAAGGATCCCTCTTCTCTTCATGGTACGAGTGTGAACAGAGTGCAAAATGTCTCTGAGCAAAGTAGGCACAGTGTTACAAGTGATAGAAAATTTGACCACATTCACATATATAAGTTGGTCTGGATTAGGGAACAGTACCAACCCATAGATTATAAGAGACATAACTTCTTCAAATGCTTGAAAATCTAGAGCATCCCAAAACTGTTGAGCCTTCTCAAACAGAAACTTGGCTAAGAAACCCTTGACTCCACTCCTTGTTTCCTAGTTGGCTACAACGTCAGATCGTTGCAAATGTAAAGCTGATGCGATCTCCTCAGGTTGTGGCTCTCTCTAGATCGGTGAAAGGCATTTGATCAAAAATAGGCACTCCCAATAGTTGAGAAACTCTTCCAATGTTGGCACCAATTTATAATCATAAAATGTGAAACAATGATGTTTAGGGTCAAAGAATCGAAAGAGCACACCGGTTATTTTCTCTTCAAAGCTTGAGGTGACCAAGTTGAGAAGTAGACCATATCTTCGGGTGAACGGAGGATTATTGGGAACCCTTGCTGTTAATTCCTTGAGTTGAGGAGGCACCTTTACAAAGACGATTCGGATGGTTTTTCTGGGAGTGGAATCCATGTCCTACAAAATAGAACAAAGATAAATCCCAAGGTCCTTGAAATGGTTAGTGAAAATGCTATGGCATGATGTCGTGATGTTTATGAACAAATATTCACACACAAACAAGCATATAAGGTCTTAGGTTTAGGCTTGCATGGGGTTTATAGGTAAGTACCGTTTTGAAGTTTAGTTAGTTTAACCTGTCCTAAAAAGTAACTGGGTTCTAGGGAATCTCAATATCATTGATCTTTCTTCATCGAGCATTGTTTCAGCATAATCAATCTTTTCTTGCAGTTGAAATATCCTGAAAGTCCAATCTGAATGAGTGTAGTATCGAGTATCAACCAATCTTCAGGTTTCCACCGAAGGTGGCTATCTCACTACTTCCTAATGGCCAAGTTGTTCAACTAAAGGTTCTACGGTCAGTTAGTGCTTCATGACACCACAGAGCGGCCACGTATTATCTTTGATTCAACATAAAGGATATCAGTACCAACAAATGTGTCACAGTAATGTAGCCATCACTTTAACCATATCGGGCTATGCCGTACAGTCTCTATGATCTATTTCTATTTACCTAATAATGCCCCCAAATCCGGGTAGAAGATCTATACAAAACCCAAAAAACCCTGTTAAGAGTAAAACAAGCAAGTCAAACAATAAAAATAATAAAGGTGACCTAGTCTCTAAGGTAACCCCACTTTTAAAGTTCTCCCCAGCAGAGTCGTCGATTTTGTAATACGGTAGGAGAACTGACTTGGGTGTTTTGCGTTTTATCAAAATTGTTGCGGATAGCAAGAGTCGCCACTGACTTTTCTTTTATCTAATAAAGGAAAGGGTGAAAAGAACAGGAAATACCTTTTGATATTTTCTTGAGTTCGGGGGGTAGATTATAAAAAGGGAAGGTGTTAGCACCCTTTTCATCCGTAGTTATCTATGGGCTCTTAATTGCTAGCTCACTTTGAAATGTTTTGTGTTTTGTGTAAGTTTTGAAAATATTTTGAAAATGCCTTCGTGCGGAAAACTCTGTAATGATTCTCGTATTGTTGAGAATGTATACAAAGTGTTGGTTTTGAAAATATTTGTTGTTTGGAAAGTGTTCGAAAGATGTTGTGAAAGTGTGAGGTGTAAAGATTGTTTCGATTTATGAGCAAGCAATTATGAACAATTTACCGACTAAAAAATTCTTTATTCTTTTCCTTCTCCTTTAGATAGTGATATCCTACCATTGATTGGTAGGAAGCCTTATCATTGGATGTGAGGGACAGACGCGGATCATCGTACAGTTATAGAAGGCAACTTGTGAGACGCTTTAGCAATTTTCGTAAGGGACTAAGATTGTTTTACCGAAGGCTACGTCGAAGGGTCATCGAGGGACTACGATCTTTTTTATCAAGGGTCTTTGTTAAAGCATCGCATATTCGAGAGATATTACTTTTTTTCCGAAGGCAACAAGCGAGGTCACCCTAAAGGTGCGTGTGTGAAAAGTGATTTATTTTCAGTTGAATTATCTTGATTAGGGTTATCTAGTGATCAATTTTAAATCTTATCATGCACTCCTAATTACTATACAGTAATAAGTAAAAGCACTAAATTGCAGAAATTCAAGTTCTACGCTATTAAAAAGCTTCGGGAATGGGGGTATAATTTTATAAATGGGGGTGAAGTAAAAGCCTAATTAAACTATTACAAACCGTAAACAATTACAATAATCGAAAGAATGCGAAAATAATAAATTTCACTAAAAAAAAAGGGAAATTATATATTTTTTTGTGATGAAAAGAGATGTAAGTAAAACCAAAGTTATTTAGACTAAATTAAAATTTTAAGATTATTAAAATTCTAAAATTTACTAAATTAAATCTAAACTAAATAAAAATTTTAAGTTTATCAAAATAATTCTAAATTAACTAAAAATAATTCTAAAATCACTAAATTAATTCTAAATTCAAACTAATTATTTAAATTTGTCTAATTAAAACTACATGATTTATATTTTATTTATTATAAAAAGAGACTAACTATCATTTTTGTTTTTTCATAATGGTTAAATAAATAGAATGCTAATGGCTAAAGAAATAAAATAAATAAAAAAATAGATAATTAGGCCAGGGATGTGAGGAATTCGGACTGAGTATTGGTTGAGAAGCTCAAAATGGGATTAAAACAAAAAACCTAGCAGCCCTTGAGAAAGGGTGTGGCCGCTCAAGTACTTCTTGGAAAGGGTCAACAATAACTTAAAACTTAATTATTAATAAACCCAATTAAAACCAAAATATTTCTTAATCTTTCACGATTCCCTATCTCTGGACCAACGTATACTTCACATGGTTCCTCACCATCTTACGCATCTCTGTATCTTTTTCTAAAATCTCCCAACCGCTCTTATCTCTCTATATCTTTCGTTTTGACAAAATATTTCTAAGTTCTCTCTTCTTCGCCTAACAAACAACATCAACACTAGAAACCTCATCTCTTTGTTTCTCTCGATCTCGTTACCGCAAATCAACCTGCAATCAAACAATCAAACTCTAATCTACCCTTATTCCTATAGAACCCTAAAGCCCCAATTCGTTACTGAGTCAGATGATTTCATATAACATGGTGCTTCAACATAATGAGGTCGTGAGCTTTGAAGGTGTAAGGTTTGAGGTTATGGTTGTGCGTGAACACAAGTTTGTATGACTAAGGTTGTGTGAGGTATCAGTGGAGTAGATTACAAAGGTTGTGATGGTGTATGAAATCGTATAGAGAGAGGTTCAGGTGATGAGTATGAATGAGGGTGATGCGGTTTTGAGGTGTAATAGTGAAGTTCTCACAAAGATTTTGGGGTGAGATTTTTGTGGTTTAAGAAGATTATTTTGAGTAGAGGTTTAATGTGATGATTATTGGTGAATTTCTCTAGATTTTGTGTCTTAAGGAAGTAATAAGATGGAAGCAGAGAAGAGGTTTTTGGCAATGATTGTTGGTTTTAGCAGAGTTTGTTTGAGTTTGAAGAGGTATTTGAGGTTTTTTAGCAGTCATTCTCGCCTCTTCAGAGAAATGTTTTGGAGGTATTTTTATAGATGAGAAAGGGTGAAAATTAGTGGGAAAATGGAATGACATTTAAACTAATTTGGCTATTGTTTTATTGCTTTTTTGAATCAGATTTTGTTTTGCCATTTTTATGCAAGTTATGGACAGATTTGGACAGGTTTGGACAGGGGCAGCAGGGCTGATTTTGGACAGCAGCATGGTTGATGGCATTTTTTTTTTGGCAACAAGGTTGGAATGGTGCAGGGGCAGATATAGTTTCATTCCTCTGGCCATTTTGTGATTATAATCTTGCAACTTATTCACTGTTTTGTAAGAATTTGTGAGAAATTGAGAGGGTAATGAAGATGGTTTGATGAGATTTGTTTTTTTGTGCAATGACTTTGTAATTTTGCAAGAGGAACAATGTATGATACTTGAATAGTCATGAATTTTTGAATTTGAATGAAATTTGTATGCACAGAAACTTGAACGATAATCTTGGATCACCTGAATTTTGGATGAATTATGAGTGATGTTGAATATTTGCAAATGATGGAACTTTGATGAGCCACCCTTGATTGTAATTTTGTCACGGTAATGAATGAAATTAGATAGAAATTGAATGTACTTTGATAACTTCAAGTAGAAATTTGATGAATGATGGTTTTTTGGATGAAACTTGAATGATGGCCTTATGAACTCGCTTGTATTGAAATGGTCTTGGACACTTGAATTTTAAAATTTGAATGATGAATAATGATGAATTAAGCGAACATGAGTGAATCTTGAACTATGCCTTGAATGAGTTTTTTAATCTTGTTATTTGTTTCCAAATGAATAAATCTTCTCACCTTAAAATATGGATCCACTTGACAAATTTGTATCAAAATAATCACTTGAATGAACTTTAAATAGACCTTTGATTAACTTGACAAATCTTCAATTCCAAATCTCAATGAAAAATTCAAATCACTTTGAACCCCCTGCTTAACTTTAAAATTCTCAAAATCCAAGTTATCTTGCAATTGAAGTGACAAGTATTCGAGACAATGATAATGCCTTGATCACAAAATGAGTCTAGAATCAACATTTCTTGTATCATGAGTCAAAAAAATTTAATTTGAAACACAAACCCTTTGTCTTAATAAATTCTTCCTTCACTTTATAACTTTGATTGCAAAATAATGCATTTGAAGAGTCCTTATAAGAAGATGATTTGAGACTTGCAGCATAGAAGAATATCCTTGAGATAAAACCATAATCATAATCTTCACTTTGAGGAATGTTAACAAGCTCAAAAATGATGAGGAACCCTAATCCACTTGCGTTGGATGCACAATGATGAACAAAGTAGCTTGATGAGAGAAGAAACTCAAGATAACCATACTTCAAAAATTAATTCCACGGTCCACTTGTAGCTTAATGAATCCCTAACTTTAATTCTCCAAATTCAAGTTAACTTGTAAATGAAGTAAACAAGTATTTGATGAGAACCAAAATTGTATCGACCAAAATGAAATACAACTTGTACTTCAACCCACCACAATCAATAATGCCTTCATGAATTGAAATTAGAAGCCAAACCCTTTTTTAAAGTCAAGAATTGACCTATAACATTTTGATAAGTTTCAAAACTTTCTAAGTACAATTTGACTCTAATATTTAGAGAAAACTTGTAGATGACATTCCTTATGACAATGTGAAAAAATAATCGTCTTGAGATATTGAAAATTGAGGAAATTATGATTCTTGGAAGCCAGGCACCAGTTACTTGAGATTAGGCCAAAGTCCATAAAGCAACCTCTATAGTATTCGAATTTTGATGATCTTCCACACATACTCGGCTCTTGACTTGTAAAGATAAATTGGAGATGACGTCAAGGAGAGTCATACACAAAAAGAACCACTCAAAAGTATCGACTAATGAAGAAGTTACAATCGTTTGAACTTGATCTTGAAAATCTTGACTTTTGGTCAATACAATTGATTTTCGGTCATCCGAGCAATTGACTAAACGAATTTGTGATGCAAGTCATGAAATATGATATGAGTGTTATTGAACACATATGAAGCACCATGGAAGCCACTTAAGACCTTGGAAACCCAATCTTACTTGAGAGATGCCAAACCCTATTCGTGGACTTAATACTTAGGAGGAGATTTTGTCTGATCAATTCTTGAGCCATCTTGAGCATTTGAGAAACCTATGGGAATATTTTGAATGAAAACTGAGAGGGATAATTTTGGGGTACAACACCCCTGAAATCAAGAAAAATTCTCAAAAGGTCTTTCCTTTTCTTTTCACCCTTTTCTTTATTAGATAAAAGAAAAGTCGGTGGCAACTCTTGCTATCCGCAACATTTGCGCTAAAACGCAAAACACCAAGTCAATTCTCCCACCGTATCACAATGTTCAATGGAAAAAAAAGACGCTAATGTTGTGTATGGCCAGAAGGGTCGTGGTAAAGGTGATCGCAACCAATCTGTAGGAGCAGTGCTAATTTCTAATCATGCGCCAGTGCAACAACATTAACAAGGAAATCAATGTAGGTCAGACGTGCCCAAGAGAAAATTTACCAAGATCAACATGCCATTATCTCAGGCATTACAACACTTATTGAAAGCAGAGCTGATTACATTGAGAGATCCTCCTCAAAATCCCAACATTTCCTCTCCATGGTACAATCCTAATGTAAGGTGCGCCTATCATTCCAATAGTTTCGAACATGACACAAATAACTGTTGGGCTTTGAAAAATAAAATTCAAGACATGATTGATAATAAAGAGATTGAATTTGATCCTCCCGAGACCCCCAATGTGATTATTGCACCTATGCGTAAGCACGACAAAGGCATCAGTGCTATTGATGATGTTTCTTATGTTTATGTTGTATGTGACTTGATTACTCCCCTCATGATTATTAAGAATAATATGCTATAAGTCATTTATTTTTGGGTTGCATTGAAAGATGTTACTCCTGCGCAGCCCAACCCAATGGTTGCAAAATGCTGAAAGAAGGTATTCAGTGTCTGATGGATTACCATATAATTTTAGTTGAGAAGATTCCTTCTATGAAGAATTTGATTCAAGACTTGGAGCTTGAAGACGTGTTTATAATTTCTAGAACTCCTGTAAGGATCACTTCCAAGGGTCCTGTGAAGATTACTATCGAACCTAGAGTTTCTCCTCTAATCATTACCGCGCCCGAGCTAATTCCATACTCCTCTGACAAGGCTATCCCTTAGAATTATGGGGTTGATGTTTACTACCATGGTGTCAAGCAAGAACCATTGGTTGTCAAAAGTAAAGACACTGGAGTTACTGATCCCAATGTTAACAATATTGTCGGGACCAGTAAGGTTACCAAAAGTGGAAGTGTTTTCTCTCCAGAAATCTCTCCGAAGACTGTTGCTATACCAGTTTTGTTACTTCTACCAAGTCAACTACTGAGACTCTAGGTAAAGAACAGATGATTGACTTCCCAAACTGGAGCACTGAAAGAAGTTACTGCTGAAGATACCTCCAAGCAAGAGATGGAGGAAGTACTAAAGATCATCCAAAAAAGTGACTATAAAATTGTTGAACAGTTGGGACAGACTCCCTCCAAGATATCCATGTTATCCCTATTGTTGTGCTCTGAAGCCCATGCTCAGGCTTTGGTGAAGTTCTTAAAATTTGCGCATGTACCGCAAGAAATCTCTGTTGATCAATTTGAGAATTATGTTGCTAGCCTGACGATGAATAATGGGTTAGGATTTTTTATGTTGTTTTAACTCCTGAAATAAGAAACCATAACAAAAACTTGCAGTCTCTATTGAGTGCAGGGGCACTACCTTGGCTCATGTATTGGTAGAAACGAGTTCCTCATTGAATGTTTTATCGAAGGGTGCTCTAGACAGGCTTGATTATGAAGGGGTTGTGCTGAAACCTAGTGACATATGGTTAGAGCCTTTGATGGTTCAAAGAGGATGGTGCATGGAGAAGTGGATCTTCCAATCAAAGTAGGTTTGAAGGTCTTCGACTCTACCTTCTATGTGATAGACATTCGCCCAACTTATTCCTGTTTACTTGGACGCCCTTTGTGACACCCCAAATAATCCGATTATTAAATAATTAGAATTTTTAATTATTAATTTAATTGGAATTTTAATTATTGGTATTTTTGGATTATTGGAATTAATTGAATTAATTAAAGGAAAGAAGTATTGGTGGTGTGAAGAGTGATTAGAGGGTGTGAGGGGTAAAATACTCTACTCTTACTAATTACTAATTTAATTATTTTATTGGAATAATAAAAGGAGTATTAAAAGGAAAAAGAAGAGAAAGAGAGTTATTTTGGAATATTCATCATACGTGCATTTGAGAAGAGGAAAAAGAAGGAGAAAACCGGAAGCGTCCGAATTCGAAGAACCCACAAGGTAAGGGGTGATTTCGATTAGTTAATTCATATTATCGGTTTAGATATTCAACAGTATGGATCATAGTATGTTAGGGAATCCCGGTTTGGAATTCTAGGGTTCCGTAGAATTGTCCCTATTGCGTCAAATTCTAGGTTGAAAACCATTAGGGTGTCAGATGATAAAAAAGAATGATGAAATAATGTTGTTTGATGTTATAATGGTGCAAAATGGATGTGTTTTGGTGTTTCTCATGTTGCAATTTGTATGGGTATGTTTGGAATTGGTTTAGAATGAATAAATATTGTCAAAAGTGCAGAATTTGACTCTGCAGGTCGTGGGAACCGGTTCCCAGTGGGGAGGAACCGGGTTCCACTGTGTGAATTTATAAAAACTGGCAAGAAGGCACATAGGAACCGGTTCCTGTATAGGTAGGAACCGGGTGCCCATACATTTTTCCAGAAGCATGATTTTTGAACTTCGCAGGAACCGGTTCCTGCATATGTAGGAACCGGGTTCTGCTGTAACTTTTTGAAAAATATTAAACTTTGGAAATTCATAACTTTCAACCCGTAAGTCCGTTTTGAGTGTCGTTTTGGGACGTTATTTCTTAAATTTAATGCTCTATTTTATAAAATGAAAAGATTTCCTAAAACCTGAAATTATTTTGAAAATGAGTCAAATCCCGGAATAAGTGATTATTGGCTAACGCACATGGGTGTGTATGTAGCAGTGAACCTGTGATGGATGGATGTATTAGTATTGTGTGAATGAAAAGCATGTTTATGTTGCTAATGATGGTGTGCATGATCGTTGAGATATCATGTTTTTGGTTTTGGTTCAGTTATGATAAATTGATGTATTTCATAGACTGATTTGATGTTGCATGCTAGTGATGTGCGTGCATATGCATTGTTTTGGTGAAGTTAATTCCCATTGTATGGAATTTGACTTGTATTGTCGTTAACTGATACCCGGATGATGATGGGTGGTTAGGCTGAATTCGTGTTCGGGTGTTTATGGATGAATTGATGGTTGCTGTATCCGGTTGATGATGGATCAGTGTTGGGTGACTTGGTCACGTGTTGGTACCACATGCATTGTGTCTGCATTTGTGTTTGCATGGAATTGTAACATGTTAGGATGTCTTCCAGTGTTACAATTCTTTGGTTGATTATTGATTTGTGCATAATGACTTGTATGATTGGAACTGCGTGTTGAATCTGAATTTATGCTAAAATGGGTGAAATAATA